AGATAGATAGATAGATAGATAGATAGATAGATAGATAGATAGATAGATAGAGAAAGAGAGACATATACTAAATGGAGTTATGCCTCACCAGTTGATAATGATTCTCCAAGAGCCATAGACTATCAACCAAAAACCCAGTGCCAGGAATAGGAAACCCCACTTTGAGTTGTATTCATGTGGGTTCTAAGAGTCTCCTAAAACAATATAGACTACTGGCATTTTCCTTAGTTGTCTTCCAAAACTTGAAGGTTAAGACGCCAATGCTGAAGACAACACATACGTTAGACACAGAACTTGGAGGAATCCTTCCTGAGGACTGCCTCTCATTTATAAAGGTGCTGTGCAGTCAAAAAAAAAAAAAACCCAAAACAAACAAACAAAAACAGCCAATAATCCTACCTAGTTGAAAAGCCTACAACTATGTAGTTGAAAACTACAATGATTGGCCACATAAGGTATCTTCAATGGTGCAATAGAAGTGATTTTATGTTGAGGTAAACAACAACTTATATTCTGTTCACTAGGAAGAAATTCATGACTGGTTCTGTAAACCTAGCCTACTACTTGATCACTGGAAAAGTCAAAACCTAAGAATAAAACCTACTACTGCTATTTTTCTCAACCAATATAATTTCTGGTTATTCTCAAACCCACAGATAAAGTGTAGTACTCGCCCTTTATGAGGGAAGCTTTTTTTCCAAGTAGAAGGAGACTATTACAGAAGACTAAAACTGGTCTAAACGCAGAGAACAGATGACTGTGGGATGTCTAACCCTAGTAGATACAACACAACCTGCACACCTCAGGCTCAGAGAACAAGAGGAACAGAAAGACTCTAAGAGTGGAGGACCAGGACACTGGCTGCATGACCATGTCCTCGAGACATTACAAGGAAGCTGCACCCATGAAATCTCATTAATATTGTTATTCAAACAATATGAAGAAGGTTTAATACAACACCCATTGGCATGTCAATGTGGATAGGAAATGTCACAGCGCTCCACCTTTAGATAAAGAGCCACAATCAATCACTGGCTGGTGAAAGAGGGAGAATCTGTTTCCTGCAGGGATAAGCTCACGTGGTAAGCCCTAAAAAAGTGTATGTAAGAGTGACACTAAATGGACTTAATAGTTTGTGTCTCTCTGTATGTAACAATAACAAGTGAAGACGTCATGAAGAATTTGAGAGAGAGTGGGAGTCAGGGAAAGAGTTTAATAGAGCTGGGGTATATAAATGGTATGAAGACAGTTCTCATGCAAAAATACTGAGACTTAAAAAAATCACACACAAGTAATTAAACATTAACATACAAAAGAAATCAATGGGTGGAGGAAATTATAGTAGTGAAAGCAGTGTAAATGAGGCCAGCCTGGTCTACAGAGTGAGTTCTAGGACAGCCAGGGCTACACAGAGAAACCCTGTCTTGAAAAACCAAACCAAACCAAACCAAACCAAACCAAACCAAACCAAACCAA